CTTACATACACCGATGGGTGCAATGCTGTGCTCCTAAATCTCGAGCTTCTATTGGACCCTTCCGCATACTTTATCGGCTGTTCGTCGGGCCATGAAACAATGGGCTCCGTCTAAACGCATGGATGTGCTCCTAAATCTCGAGCTTCTATTGAACCCTTCCGCATACTTTATCGGCTGTTTGTCGGCCCATGATACCATGGGCTGTCTCTGAACAGAAGCTGTGGTCGTCCCCCAAAACACGTTGGTCAACCCACGTTACGCTACACAAATGGGCCCCCTCTCCCCAAAAAATGGAAAATTTGAAAGTAACCTTTCAATGGTTGCTAATAGAGAATATTATAGATATCCCTTTAAACTCAAACATCCTTCCCTCACTTAACTATTTCTTTTTTAAATTTTTTTCATCCACCCCTGAACCGATCCCCAATTAGTTGAGAAAAAAGTTTGATGATGATAATGATATGTCTACCCCAAATAAAAAGTTATATATATATATATATATTTTGACAAAAATACCCTCTTCTAAACCCACTTTTTAGACCTTCCCTGCCAGTCTAAGTGCTGGACCAACTTCATTAATAATTGAAGCCAGTCAGCTTCATTAACAATTGAAGCCAGTCCAATACAATTTGTGTTGCACCGACTTCAATGGGACCAATAGTCCAATACAATTTGTGATGCAACGGCTTCAATGGGGATCGAGAACTGGTCAGGCAGGCATGCACATTATTTATTTACAACAAAGCCAGTCTGACACAGCATATACTAGATTGACTTTAATAGGGACAAGAAGGCAGTCTAACTACTAAACTGGCTTCACAAAAACCATAAACCTTCTAATACATCGTGTTCGTCTTTGTATAAAACCAAGAGAAACATGGGTTTGGAGGCCAACATTTTCATCATAAAGAAAATAACCTTTTTTTCCTTTGGGGTAGATGACAAAGGCAGCAATTTCGGTTGATGTAGTTTAAAAAATACTTAAAAGGAGCAGGTCTAAAAAGTCGGGTCTAGGAGGTATTTATATTTTGAAAAGGCATACAAAGAATATCCTATCACTCTTTATCTATCCAATTTTAAATTGTATAGTTGTCACTGTATCATTGACTAGACTAAAAAAAAAAAACCCAAACTTCATGACACACCCTTAAGCCATCAAATTTAACATCTAATGGCTAGAAATGACATTATATTATTGGTAGTCTCATGATATACAATTCTTTATGGCTAGGAATGACCTTGTATTATTGGTAGTCTCATGATATACAATTCTTTATGATTATCCCTAGATAGTGTACTCGTAGGAAATCTTTAACGAACTTCGAAATCGTAAATAGATACATTGCATATGTTTACCGTGAGAGGCGGGCAATACAAGAAAATCAAAAGGTCAGGAACAACTGCGTTGCACGTCGATCCCACTTGTTTTTCAAGAAATGAAAAAGGGGGTTGGGTTGGGTTGGGTTGGGTTGGGTTGCACCGCTACCCAGCATTACTCCCCAACTCAAATAATATACTTCACTGGACTCAGACAAGGAACTCAAAAAACATGGCAACTGACAAACAAAAAAAAATCCACCAGAATGCAGTAAAAACCTGACTTTTATAAACAAAAAAATTGGTAGCCGGCACCAAACTGGTTGGCCTGTTTATTAGTTGATTGCATCACTTGATACGAATCCTAGTTAACTTTCTAAATTTATTATATTAAGAATGAAAATTGTTTCATGTGGCGGGGACTGCATATCCACATTTGCAGTCGTGGAGGTATAAAGCATCCATCTTAAATACGGATGCAAATAGGTGTCGTCCATCTAAAAACAATTCAAACTACCAGCCTAAATGTTTTCTTAATAAAATTATTATTTTTAATTTCCAAAATTTATTTATTTATTCATGTTCATGCTCTTCATGTTAGAAATTATATAAATTACATGTACTCCAAAAATCCATCACAAAAATAGATTTTTTAAGAGGTTACTCATTTCTACATGGACTCCAAAAAATTGTACTATATAAAATACCTTGGAAAAAGCATTGACCACCTATTCGTGTCCAACAGGCATTTTAGGTGTCTAGTACTTCAGTACAAGAATTTAATTCTGCTACATGTTATCTCTACATAAAAGACTTCCAAAAAAAGTATGTTCATTACTAACATAAAATATATTTTCTGCAATATTTGACAGGTATTGTGATCAAGAAAGTGCCGGTTAACAATGAAGACAGCCTAACAAAATCTTCCTAGAAATGCAGGCTCCACCCAAGCTGCAATTACCGCTGTTTTTTTTGTTAAGTACAATTACCTCCATTTGCAATGCCTTTTCTTTAAGAAAAAATTAAATACATATCCGTTATAGTTTCTATTATTACGACTCTACCGAATAATTTCAATTATAACCACCGTGTCTGTTTTTTTCATGTCAAAACATAAAATTTTTTTAAAAAATGACTTTACCCTTTCGGTTGTTGAAAATACACCAATTTTGCTTCTTCAATAATTGAAAATTGTTTTTTATAATATCCTCTCTGAGGTCATAGTTATCAGATAAAATCAAAAGGGTACAACTAATTTGAAACCCTAAATTTAATAAAAATCTTAGAGATTATGACATTAGAAAATTAAGAGAGCGTGTGGCGCATTCACTCTCTACCTCCTCTTTGAAGTCATGGTTATCCCTAAGATTTCTCCTCGAACTAGTTGTTCCCCTTTGATCTTATTGGATAACTATGACTTTAAAGAGGTAAATAAAATAGGCCATAAGAGAACAGAAAATACACCACAAGAGAGAATATTTTTCGGTAAATTGGTGAGCAACTGAAATACTTTGAATTCGGTTGTTGAAAAGAAAAAAGTACAGTCATATTTTTTAAAAAAATTTCCGTTTTGACATGAAAAAAATAGACTCAGTGGTAATAACAAAAACTATTCGGTAGAGCCGTTATAGTTTCCACTAAAAACTATTCGGTAGAGCCGTTAAGAAACTATAACGGATATGTACGTAATTTTCCCTTTCTGTAAAGGAACATGTTTCTTCCAATCTCATTTACAAACTTATAAAAAAACAATAAACCTTCCAAACTCATTTACAAACTTGTATAAAAACAATATACCTTCCAAACTCATTTACAAAATTATATAAAAACAATAAACCTTTAATACAGTAGCGACCTAACACAACACCAATTAGAAAAGTTCAAGTGGAATGCCTTAAAAAGACGAGGGGAAGGCCCAAAACAGCATGGATAGAAGTACTGAAAAACGATACGGTAACTTGTTGTTAGACTGAGGTACGACCCTTCATAGAGTAGAATGAAATATGATTCGCATAGCCAATCCCAAATAGTTGGAATAAAATTCGGATGATGATGACGAGGCAAACAGTAATTCCTTTCCTTGTAACTCTTGACCAATTTGATGATGTCGTAACAGTTAAAAAGGAAATAAAATGTGGGGCACTCCAAATTCTGAAGAGAGAGAGAAGAGAGATTTATACTAATCATCATCCAACTGACGTCATGATATTCCATATACAAGGCATTGGTTCATGACCCTGTTATTTTACAGATTTTTATTTGATAGGAACCAATACCCTTCACTGTTTCACATAACTAGTTGTTGGTATTCGAACTTAACTACAAATACCTGAAAGTCAAGCTTCATCATCCCCAAGGTTGTTCACACGTTCGCACTCATCTATCCACTCGCTGTACCTGTATATTTGCACATCCCACAAGGAAAAGAAACATAACCATACATGCTATCTGAGAATAGTTATACAAAACCAACAATATCAGTTTCAGCACTAGGTAAATCTTGAGGACTTTTTTTGAAGGAGTAAATCTGTAGGATTTAAAAGAAGGGATTGATAAAATATCACTAGTTGGATATGCGAGTAACTTACACGTCTATGGCTTCACTTAAAGCTGCAATGAAGAAAATAAAAAAAAAGTCAGCCAGGAAATCATCAGGAAAATAAAGATATGTAGTATAACACATGAATTGCACCAGCAGTATGCTACATGTCATCTTCACCTACCATACTCAAAAGGGTGGAGATGAGCTGTTCTTCGGATTGAGCAGACTACAGAACACTTGAGAGGGAAAACAGCTCCTCTCCACTACCATTTTTGGGTATGGCATGTTGATATGGAATAATGTCGGAACACATATTTACAGTAAACTAAAATGTCGGAACACATTATCACGGTAAACCAAAGAAAACTGGCAGTACAACTAGCGCATAAAATACTAAAAGGGAAACTATACTGTAATACATGCAGTATAAAAATAATCTTCTAGTGTCCTCAACCACTCATACTCAACACAGATGCCATATGATCCCTGAGAAGAAAACCAACCACCCCCATTAAGTTTTTCATTCCAAAGGCCTGGTCTCAGGCCTGAATGTCAAAAGCTGGTGCAAGGTCATGCTTGAGAAAATGCTACGAGATTTTCTCATTTATACAAATAGTAAATTGGTATTTTTGTTATGATGCATTTTAGGAAACAAGGGGGAAAGAAAAGAAAAAGACCAAGTGTTATCAAATGAAGTGAAGTCCATAGTTTGTTTTTTTCTTTTTTTGAGTAGGTTAGCTTGGCATGAACAAAGGACAACTCAAACTGCCACATTAACCAGGTGCAAACAATTGATATCAAAGGCTGCTGAAATTATGTAAAGAACATGGAAAATTCAAAATTAGGGGGAAATACCCTTGCAAGATTTTGAAAAGGAAAAAAATGGAGGTACTGATAGACGTGGATAAAAGCCAATGGGCTTATAGCTACACTCATAAGCCAAGATCCAAAACAAATAGCTTGAGGAATATTTTGAAAAGAAATTTCCACATCATCTTTGATTCTGACAGGCAAGGGGGGGGCGCGAGGTATGGACAGGACAACATAACCAATTTTAAGCTCTAGAAGGCCTAGATCTACAATTTTAAGCTCTAGAAGGCCTAGATCTATCATCCACCAAATGTACAGCTTGAGTTCAACGATAATGGGGGACTCAATTCTCCCCCTTCTTTTGAGTGAAAATGAAATATATATATATACACACGCACATATATATAGAAAAGGATGGGATTAGCCCACTCGAACATCCCGTTCAAATGCGCCCAACGACAGTGATTAAATGGGATAGATAAGGAAGTGATTTCTCCTTCAAAACGGCAGCATTTAATGGGAAGCCTGACATTGTATCGATATACGCACAGATAACCTGACATTGTTCCCATCTTTCCCTCTCCTCGATTCAAATTGCATGCTCCCATCTTTCTCTCTCCTCGATTTGGTGTTTCCTCCCTCTCTTAATGTTTTGGTTCCATTTTTCTCTCTCCTCTCCTTTTTAACAACTCCCATCTTTTTCTCTCTCTCCTTGTTTGGGCTCACCTCCCTGATATAGCTTTGCATCCCAACTAATGGGAACTCTCTCTCTCTCAAGGTAAGCTCTCTCTCACTCTATCTATCTCTATGCTCTGTTATGTTACATTG